TTATTATCTACAAAATACAAGCAAGATTTATTTGTCCGAAATCCGCGTGTGTTCCTGGCACGAATACTTTTCCTTATTTCATGAGACCACTGCATCGCGAAGGATCGTCATGGATCGTTCGTAGTTTCGAATTAGGGCATGCTCTCATGGCAATGGGAGCATTGAATGAATTTTCTAACTTCTGCAACGTTCTGAAATCTTGTTGAAACACCCAAACTCTTTTGCCTTTCTTAATCTTGGCAAGTTCAGAATAAACTGAGAATGAAACACGATCAAACCATACAACTCCATAAGTAAAGACATAACAAGCAACTCCCCAGAGACATCCAACATTTTTGGAACAAAACGTAACAAAATAGAAGCGTTGATACTGTGATGTGTATTTGCAAAAAGCAATATTATTTCCTTCATTAAGGAATAAGATCCATCCTGCTCTAACCGAGAAATAATCAACTTTGTTTCGAACCCATGAAAAACATAAAAAAGTAGACTATTTAAGAAAAATTTAAGCGCCTGCCTTGCATGGTCTTTCATGCATGTACCTTTAAGTTTGTAAAGACCTATTTAATACTTGGATATTATATATATACATATATATTTCAGGAAACAATGAGTTAAGACTTACATGTAAGATGTCTAAATCTACGCCATATCCCTTACAAACCCTAACGGCAATTCGCTGAAATACAAGTTAGCCTGACATGTCATTAAGCAAACAAACGCTGAAGTTAATATTTGATATGCCGATTTTTGCTAATTTTAGACGCATCGCAAAATATGCTCCCGATTTTGAACATTAATATCTCCGTGAATTTTTAAGTAAAATACAACTGTAACATATCAAAATCTAAGTTAGTTCTTTCTCTATTTAATTCAAGTTATTTCTGTTCGATAGCTTTACTTGTTTAGAAGTTATATTAAGAATCAAATCGGAGTACTTTTTTTTGGGACACCCGGTATATATATATATATATATATATATATATATATATATATATATATATATATATATATATATATATATATATATATATATATATATATATACGAAGTTACGGACGACACAGGAGTAATTCGAGATTATATTGGGATGACATCAAACACGTTCAAGAAACGTTATTACAACCACAAGACATCATTCAAAAATACGAGCTATGTAAAATCCACTGAGCTGTCCAAACACATTTGGAACTTGAAAAACAAGAAACGTACATTCAACATCAAGTGGTCCATTCTGAAGCAAACATCATCTTATCGCAGCGGCGCAAAAAGTTGCAACCTATGCCTCCAAGAGAAACTCGAAATTTTGAAAGGTGATAAGAAAAGATTACTGAACAGGAGATGTGAACTATTCTCGAAGTGTTGCCACCGGAAACAATTCTTGGCGGGAAAATTTGAACGTGCGCACGCAATACCATCACGCAAGTAGCCTAACGAACTCGCACGTAATCATAGAGGAATTTTTTATTGAGATTTAAACATTGTCGCCTGAAGATCGCATTAAGCGTGAAACTCACAGTTGTGACCATATTTTAAGTTAAGAAATTAAATTATATATATATATATATATATATATATATATATATATATATATATATATATATATATATATATATATATATATATATATATATATATATATATATATATATATATATATATATATATATATATATATATATATATATATATATTATAATATATATAATATATATATATTATAATATAATATAAATATTATTGCTGCCGAGCGAAGCGATGGCAGCCACCTATTCTTGACAACGTTTGCAGTTTTTACTCGTGCCAGATCCCCGCGCGACTTATGTATTTTAGCCAAAGCATTTGAGATTTGTTTGTCGTTCGTTCGATCATTCGGGTCGCATTTTCTGACGTCACAGAATTCGAATGACGTTGTGTTTCGTTGTGTACAAATTTATATACGCAGGAAGTTTACGATGACAATCCGATCACTTCCGAAAGCTGCGTTCGGTGCGCCGTAGCTTCATAGGAGCTATGACATTTAATTTTGACATGACCATATGGCAATGTCGCATATTTTTCCATTGCACGAGGCTTATTTTACAATATTACTATTTGATTTTGGAGGAAAACTATCAAAAGAATTATATTTTTGAAGGTATGTTGATAAAAAATAGTTATTTGAACGTTTGAATACTTTCATTTATATATGTAAATGAACGTGATAGTCTGTTTTTATAAATACATTATAAAAATTCGAATTCAATCTCCTCTACAGTAGGTGTATATTTTGTTGTGTGTTCGTGGCGATCATTTGGTCAAATCAAGTCAAAAGGAGCCGTTCATATTATGTTTTTCAAAAAAGCAGTGAATTGTGAACTCGCTGTAACTGTACCAAACTTGCTAGCTATGTGTGAACTAGCTATATTTTATACTTTATACTAGCGAGGTTGTGATCTTGCTAGCTGGGCAATCGTCGACGGTTGGCAATAATAAAGTTGTATCACTTGTATACTGATTCTGTCAAAAGATCAAGCCAACAAGGTATTGTATATCAAATTTTACAAATATGTAGGTTGTATGTCAATTAGAAAATTGCCAATAATAAAAATAGTTATATATATATTTATTATATTACAGTAAAATGATTATTAATATTGTTATTAATATGGGAATATGATATGCAGTAATCAAAGCCGTGCATAAAAGACCAGTGAATTTTGACTTCAGCTGAAGTGGTTCTTATATTATCTTACTTCACACTATACTTTTTTATATTCTACGGCGTTGTATTTTGGGTGCTTAATTGCCCAAATTTCAGGCTAGTGGATCTTAACCTACTGGTTCTTTTATGCGGGGCTTTACTGTATATCAAATCAATAGACCTTATGCATAATTACGTCTTAAGGCTTGATGTCTGTGAGGAATGCTGGTCTTAGTAGTCATCACGGTCCACTGAAAATGTCGATAGTGGCCATTTTGAATTGTTTAATTTTCCTGGGCGATTACTACTAAAGCCCTGGGGCCTGGGCAAACTAAGAAACATTGTTGCGGAAACATTGTTTCTTGCCAATGTTTCGCCATGTTTCCCAGAGTGGGAAAACACTAGGAAACATTAGTGCGAAACATAGGGAAACATCAAATGTTTCTGAATTTGCTAGGAAACATATTTGCTTCTCGGGAAGCAAATTTTGTTCCCGCAACAATGTTTCCGTGGGTGGGCAAACAGGGAAACATCTGAGGAAACATCACGAATCACAAATGTTTCCGCAATAATGTTTCCTAGTTTGCCCATAGCTTAAGACCAGCATTCCTCGCAGACATCAAGCCTTGTGACATCATTATGCATAAGGTCAAATGAGCAGTATGATGTCCAAATTGGAATACACAATTGTACACGAATGAAAAATTATCTGACTTTTTTCCATAATGCTCACAATTTCTTTCTTATTATATAGTTTTACAGTTCTGAGTACAATCTTAATCATT